TTGTATAATTAAGTTAATTATTATTCGAGTTGATAATATTATCATTTCACAAAATTTATTGTATATTTTTAAACTTTGTTTTTATATTACAAAATTTGATTATTTTATTTCTCACTTATTTATAGTTTATTTAATTATAATTAATAATTCAAACCAATCCACGTCACGATTTAAAATTACATGTTAATCACTGTATCAATTAATTTCCATTATTTTTGATACAATAAAAACAGTGAACTATTCAAAGATTTTCATGACTAAAAAATGTTATTAAAAATGTTATACCTACGAACTTAAAAATTGCAAAAGAGAGATGATATCCTTTCGAGGCATTTGGATCATTCAACGCCGCCGATCTGATTTTGTTCACCCATCTGAGACGAGTACGTCACAGAGTGAATTTAATGATTATGCTGTAATATTTTCAAAGCAATTTCCTACTGTTAATCAGCGCCTGAAAGTTGTTCAAAGTCACCGCTATGCACCACTTCCACAGGACGAAGACATGTGTGCTTATTTTAAACAAGCGTTGGAATTCACGACGTTAGTATCGAACGAAGTCCCAACGACAGATACTGTGACCGTCACAGCGGACGCGCCACAAATCTTTCGACTGTCATTCATGGGAAAAGAGCCCATTTTCTGTGTTTATACACAATCCCAAAACACATTCTTCTTAACTGTTCCGATCACTGTAGGAAGCACCGAAGACATTTCTTACTTGAGTCAACCCAACTTAATTTACTCAATCAACTTCTTGCATTCAATAGCGGAGCTCTGCGGGAAATTTTTCGAGACGGACAAGAAGAGGTCGCGGGAGGAATTGAACCAAGCGCTCAACTTTGAATTAGCCCGGAAATTGTCGTGTTGTGTACCATTTGGGACTCCTTTAGTGAAAATGGATAACGAATGGGTCAAAGCGTTTTATAAGCAAGAAGACCCGTCGAAAAAGGCAAAGGCTGGGATTAACAGGAAATTCACGATATTAGAAAGACTTGTGTATACCAATGAAGAAAATACTAAAGACGCCAATTTGAATATCGTCTCATTCAAAGGACTTGTACAAGCCGATATCGACTTACAAGGCGCTCCAGAAATGTCATTAGGGTTCTGCGTAGGTAAAGACGGAGCTACTAATATCACACAAATCATCCAAAACTTGTCGCTGTATCATGCCGCGGTGCCTATAGCGTCGGTCGACACCTTTGCGACCGATATTAAGATCTCCCCGCCACCTTATCCATTCGATTTGTGCTTCTATACCGTCTCCCCGGAACTCTCAATATCTAACACAAAAACTATACAACAACTCTTTACTGCGTCGTATATCATCGACTACGATAAAACAATTTTTAAAGTCCAAATAGTCATCGACTTTGACGCAATTATCACTCGACTCAAATATGACGCTATCACTGTCGAAATCCCTTTAAAGGGAGTCAAGATGGAAAGCATCACAAACTACACCGCTCATAACCAAAACTTCTCACAACCCGAAAAGGTCCAAGACAAACTCATCACTAAAGTCGTCAAGTTCGACGAAAATAATCGAGCCATTATCGCGTTCCAATTCACCGCAGATATCACCGATGACGCTTCGGAATATTTGAGAATTAGAAAACCGTCATTCATATCAGATATGCAAAACGCTTTCAAACCTCATTGTCTCATTAAAACTAAACTGTCTTCGTCACTCTCAGGGTTCTCTATCGACGCTAGAAAAATTACAGTCGTGCAAGCAAAAAGCCAACTGCAATTCACTACTTCACAAGAAACTCAGATAGAGGCCATTGTCTTCGCTCAACATTTGTTCGGAGAAATAAATCAGTAAGTTTTAATTGTTATTATTAAAATTAATAATAAAAATTAGTATTTTTATTACTATACATCAGTTACTTTTTTAGTTTAATTTATTGAACTTAAATTATTATATTATATTATATTATAATAATTTAATATCATTAATTATTATAATATTATAACAATAGAAGGAAACAGAGGCTAAGGTCCAGCCAATCTTTACTAAAATGTATCAACAGCAGCTGGTAACATGCCAGGCAGTATGCCACAGAGTGGTATCCTGGGTGCACAACAGCAACAGGGCTCAAAGAATAGTGATACAACGGGGTTGAAAATTGAGGAGGTCGACTGTTGTTATTGATTTGTCATATTAAGTCCATTTTAACTGTACCATAATACAATAATAAAATTACAATAAAATGTAGTTATTTGTTTTATCAATCAGAGTACTATATAGTATAACACCTATATCATATTAAATGATACACTTTATTAATTATGAACAATAAGTAGTAATTGTGTTATATCATAAGAAAGAGCCTGTTGAGAACGGGTCGAATATGACGTTTTTGAAGAGACAGAACGAAATTGGTAACCCGACAACAATAGTGAGCATAGCAAATGCCCCAACGAGAAGTGTTGGGATGAATGAGTACGTATACAAGAACTTATGTCTACTTCCCACGTTGAATCCAATTAACACTATTTGCACCACCAAGAACAGTGCAGTTACACTTGAAGATATCAGTCTGAAGAATCCAAGTTTCAAGTCTTTGAAGTAGTCAGACACTCGCGATGTTACTACATAGACACATGCGAGTATAGTTGGTATTGAAAAGTCCTTTTCTGTGCTATCTGCCTGTATTCCAATGAATGCAAACGTTGTAGCCAAAGCTGCGAATGGTACAATATCAAGCCCCACATTCAGTAATTTAATGTTGAGTTCTCTCCCGACTGTGACGGTATTCCCATTTGTATCTGTCATAGGATAGTCTGTACAATAGTCAAACACATGAGTGATAACACTAAAAAGGACTCCGACATAGAACGGGACAAGCCACAACTGATATGAAGTGTCCCCACCAATATCAAGTCGCACAAAGAATAAGATGAGACCCACTAAGTAACTGAAATTCGATATTGTCCCTGTGATCTTCCCAACTAACGACGAAGAGAAGTGGAATAAAGTCAATGCGTACAGAAAGTACAATGGAACATTGGACGCTGAAATAGGCCATTCCTTGGGTATATCAAGTCGCGCAAGTAACAACCCAACCCACGCAAAGTAGACACAGACAAGAAAGATGAATAGAACAACCGCCCCAATCACATACCCAACTATATGTTGCATGACAGAGTCTAATACTGTACCTAGACTCTCCCCCATCACGCCAATTCTGTCATACACTATACGCCCAAAGGGGTCACTTAACACAGAATATGCCTTTTCAACCATTATCATACGATCTTTGTCACTTTTGTCGTGACTCTTCTCAGCATCAATTTGCTCGGAAACTGATTTATACGCCGCAGTAATTTCTTCGTCCGTTGCGTTTGTGTTGATGTCCAATATTTTGTAGTAGTCGTATGGGTCTGTAAATCGAAATGGAGAGACGTATTTCTTCTTCGGAGTCTCTTTTGGGATGATCGGCTTGTTCTCCTCGTCAATTGTTTCAGTCAAACTCTTCTTCCTGTTTGTGAGTTTCTCGTTGATTTCCATTGAGTAATTTATTAGTTTTTTTTACTAAATGAAAAACAGAGAAACTGCACAAATGAAAAGACCAAAACCTTTTCATTTGATAGATACTATTTATTTATAATATTTATACTATAAAATATAACATTAATAGTGAAATCAATTCAATTTGTGTACTCCTTTTGACCCTTTTGGGGTGGCGATAACGAGAGACCACAACAACAGCAGATAATGGGCAATACTATAATAGAAAAGAGTAATAAAATGCATATTAAAATGAGTGTTGGCATGAAGGAGTATGTGTACAAGAATGTATGTCGATTTCCAATGTTAAATCCGATCAACATAATCTGCAGTACCACAAATAGAATAACTAACATGTCAACTCCAATGGCTTTAAATACTGTTTTTAGAGTTGATTTCTCACTTCCATCAAACAGTTTTAAGTCGACAAAAGTCGATTGGAATACTCTAAATGTGATCCACACACTAGCTAATAGAGTTGGGATCATAAAGTCTCTTTGTGCACTATCCATAGCAATTCCAGTGAATACCAAAGTCGCTGCAAAAGCCGAGAATGGTATAATATCAAGTCCTATATTGATTAAAATCTTTTTCCAGCCTCTTTGGAGTGTTTGTTGATCATCTCCCACCATTTGAGTGTTGACGTAATACTCAAACACGTGTGTGATAATATTGAAAATCAGTCCAACATAAAAGGGTACTAGCCATAACTGATATGAAGACTCACCTCGTATGTCCATTCTCACAAAAAATACTATGATACCAATATAATTACATAATCCAGAAATAGTCCCAGTGATCTTCCCAATTGTACTACTCGCATAATTTACAATGAAAAATAAAAGAAAGATGTAGAGGGGTATATTCACTAACGAGTACTTCCAATTGTCTTTTGGGATATCTAACTTCGCTAAAAATAGTACAATCCAAATACCAACAAACAAGAAAATAAAGAGGAGAAGTGTCCCTAAAACACACAATCCAAACCCAGCAAAAGGAAGTAGGACATCCACCAGTGACCCAAGATTTTCAGACTCGGGACCTAAAATGTCGTACATTTTTCTTTTATCTTTATCACACAATGTTGAATGTGCTTTGTTGATCATTGCAAATTTATCTTGTGCATCAGGACTTGGGTTTTTGTCTGGATGATATTTAAGAGCTAATGCTTTGTATGATTTATTGATTTCGTTTTCTGTCGCTTCTTTATTAATTCTAAGGACTTTATAATAATCTTTGGGGTTTTTAAATTGATCTCCATCTTCAGAATTAATAAATTCGCTATTCAGTGGTGTTGTTTCATCCGGTTCAGATGTTAAAGGTTCAATTGGGATTTGTTCGGTGTTTCCATCAGTTATTATTTTATCTTTTCTATTGAATAGAATAGCTGTCTCCTCCATTCCTTTTTTTCAGATGAATTTAAATTAATATTTAGTTTAGTTTTGAATCTTTATGTTTTCGTTGAATTTATTGATATTTATTCATTAAATGCGCTGTTTTACTTATTATTAACACAATTAATACACAATCAAATAAATTAAATGGAATGTTATACCCCTATCTATCTTCTGGTAAACTGATGTTACCATATAAACTCCTCCAACTCTCAACCACACCTTTGTGAGTAACAATAGGACTACACCCACTCGAATATGTAGCTACTCCGTTGTGAAAGTGTAACACACGTTTGTCAGGCAAAAAGCACATTCTTTGTGTACAATTTTGTAGAATTATTCCTAGACTTTGTTGTTTATCTATCACCAATGCATTTAGAAGAGTCTGGTCATACCCCCACCTATCAACATATGACATTTCAATGGTGTCGTTCAACTCTTCGAAAAAGTGAATCATCTTTTCGACTCCACCCATCCCCAGCCCCCCATTGACAAACACCCACTCCCTTTCCATGAATTTTTTAACGTCCTTTTTCGAAGCAAACTGAATCATCCAAGAGAAGTGTGCGTAGCGATTAGAAATTTGAAAACAGTCTATGCCTGTACATTCCAGTAGCCAATACAACTCACTTTCATTGAATGTTCTGAACACGTCAGTAAAATAAAACACGTCGCGCAAATCACTGAAAATTGCTCTATCGATCTCGGACTTATGCTTCTTCATATATTCTAATGTCATTGGTATTCTGGCATTCACACAACTCCAATTCTCATATTGGATATCTTCAATTTGTGTAACATTATATTTCTTCATCAACTCCGTAAAATTATGTGGGATTACTCCAACAGTAAAAACAATTGCGGTTATATTCGGCATTGACGCTCGCATGAGTGTAAGTGTTTGCTCTATTTCGTAGTACTGTGTCACATACGCTGGTGTCGACGCATGTGAGTAAAAAATATAGTCTCTACTTCCCCCACTTTTAAATTTGAATATCTCGCCACACTTCTCTTGGTAGTTGAAATGGGGTAAATCGATGTTTTCCAACTTCTGACATGTAGCATTTCTATAACACACGTTTTTATTATCGACAATAAAATAGATTAGTATTGATGTCACCAAGACTATTCCTCCCACAACGAACTTCCTCATTATATATTTAGAGTTCCTCTTCTTATCAACTCAAAAAATCGAATTAAAATGTTAAACTAAAATTCAGTTCACTTTTTGATATTTTCATCGATCAGTGCTTTGCACTCCTTCACTGTTCTTTCCAGTTGTAAGAACCCAAGTTCAAATATGTTCTGGAGACCAGCAGCTTCCGCTTTCATCTGTCCCTTATGAATCGCAAGTCCTTCCTTACAATGTTCCAGCAGTCCTTGCATCACTAAGAAGAGCTTCTGAACATCTTCCTCGGGATACATCTTCTTCTCAAGACTGTCTTTGTTCAAGAATGTCCTACAAATCGCACCAGGACCTCCATTGACCTCTGCTGAAAGAATACCTTTCAAAAGCACTTGAAGAGAACTCAAACGCAATTCCTCCCTCTTCTCCAGTAACAAACTAAGTTGTTCCGCCTTCGACGAAATATCGTCCGTCGAGCTTTGAATAGGAGTGAGTGTCGTGATCGACTGCGAAATGACTTCTTCTCTCTCCAGTACTGACGGGAACGCGTGGCGGAGTCGTAACATCGTTCGTTCCTTGCACGCCTTTTCCAACACGTCTGGTTTTGCTCCGTCCAGTGACCGTCGAATTTCGCTGCAGAAGATTCTTGTATGTGGGAAGTCGACTCCAGTCAACGGTGCAGTTCCTTCCTCATTGAATGGCGTGACATTAATGACGCCAATTTGTCTCAAATTGGGATCCGGTTGTTTCTTCGATTCGACAATAGACGCCGGTTGTTCTCCTTGTGAGTGCATCTTGACCAACGCTTCTTGGAATTCTTTAATCCGCAGTGTACTTCGATACACAAATTGCTTCCCCGCACAGTGGAATTTGCCATAGAACGAGACCAAATAGAAATAGCCGATATACCGATTATTCGTATCTACCATATGCGAGTACAACACATTAATTCTCTTATGCGTGTCCGCAAGCTTTCTGAAGTTATGATTTGCTGAGAAGTATGGAATGATGAAATAACACAACGAAATCGCAAACGAATGCAAATTGGCAGATTGGAACGCGTCGATCCCTTTAAACACCCAATCGACTAATGATTGTTCCGTCAATTCCGCAGAGTCCGTTCTCAAAAGGGGGTCCTCATAGTCCAAAAAGTCCGTTGTAATTTGTTTCAAGTAATCAATCTGCAAATTCGCCACTTTGTCTTCAATGTACTTGTAGATGTAATGGACGTAGTGGACCGCACACACACCAGCTTCGATGAAGTTCCCTTTGTTCTGTTGACTCGTTTCAAGCATTTTATACCAACTTAAATGCACAGAAGGGACGTCCTTATACTTCTCCGCAAATTGGAAGATGTTATCAAAGACGGCGTCTTGGCCATAATTCTCTTTAATCAGTCTCTCATGCTCTTCCATGAATTGGAACATCTCTGAAATCTTGTCTTTCAGAAGTAACAGCTCCTCTTCAAATTTCTCAACAACTAATTCTTGTTTCGTCTCCTTTTTCGTTTGTTCTTTATTCTCAGCACCAGGAAGTAGTATAGAGTAATTCGGCTTCTTCGCTACAACTTTAACTATCCGCTGAATTTGCTCAGAACATTTCTGTTGCAAATTTGGTATGTGATTCTTCTCTATATCTTTTATCTTCTTCGCTATGTCACTCACTTGACTACTCGGTTCTACATCACCACGCTCAGCTAAGTCAACAACTATTTTATACAGTGACGCATATTCGTTCCTCTTCGCTTCCGCATCTCGGATCTCTTTATCTTTCAACTTGAACTTCTTCAAGATCTCCGACAACTTTCCTTTACTGATGATCTCTATTTTAGACATTAATGAACTTAACATCATTTTCTCATTGCGTCGCCCTTCAGCTCCACTCCCATACCATCTCTTCGACGCTTCCATTGACTTTTCTATCGCTGGATAATCCCGCATTAACGTCTCCGCTAAGTTCTTCATCTCTTTCACTTCACTCCCTTCGTAACTCATCACTTCTTGCACATCAACTTCAAAGGCAGCGACTTTAACACACTCTTCCGCAGCAGCTAACTCACCAAACACCTTCTCTTGCGAATCAAACTTCTCTCTTTCAAACTCACGCATCTTGTTTTGTAAGTCGATGATCCGTTGCAGCGTATCTC